TTCTCTAATGACTCTAAGATGGAATTCTGGGGAACACACTAGAAGTTACTTTGACTTTAAAGGTTAGAGGGGAGAAAATAGAGCATGGTGTCAGATACATCAATGCCACCATGTCCCAGGCTGCAGAGCTTAATGCACTTCTTAAGATTAAACCAAGCAGACTGCCTCTAATGCTGTTGAAATGTCAGCCTTCAGTTCAGGGTGGTGGTAGACATCTGCATTACTTCTGTGTTTTAAACAACGTTACTCTGCCAAGAATGAATCTGTGTCATGATCTAATGGCTCTTGTCATTTTAGTGTAGTGATCAAGGAGGAAAAATGAAAGTACTTTATGTGGAAAACCAGATAAGAAGGTATTTCATAATCCAGAGTGCAAGGCTCTCTGGAGTATAATAATACAGATCTATCAGGAATTCAGTTAAAACAGTTTACCTGCTTTCCATGAGTGGGTTCAGTTCACTGATCTTCATTCAAGTTCACGCTAAAGTTATTTAACTGCAGGCTGTACATTACACCACACCGACCAAAGAATTAAAGAGGTTTTCCAGGTCTAATATACAAATCCATATTGATTACAGCCAAACATGCATTTAGTCAAATCTTTAATACACTCTATTAGGGCGTGGATAAGACTTTAAAGCTTTGTCTTAGCCACAGGGTAGCTGGGCTAGAGTTGAACCAATCGTAAACTGCCAGAATAGAAAGTTACCTTGGGATGCAGTATGTATTCTCAACAGCGTATCATCTAGAACAACAAACTTTTTTTAAATGTAAAAATAAGCAATTACTTGTCATTATAAAATAGCAAATTTTACAAGGGGGCAAATTTGGTTTTCTTCCCTTGAGAGGCTCACCTCCGTTACAGTGCTCAATGACCCATACCTCACATTTGTCATCGGCTGTACCTCTGTGCCTAATGCTCCATTTTCCTAGAGCAAAACTGTCTTTCAAAACACAGGAAGAAACGCGCCAGCCATTTTTCCCACCTCCAGTTGAGGTAGGGGAAGTTTATCCCAACAGCCCTGCCAAGTAGTTGGCATGATCTGCATTATTCTAGGATAGCTAGACAAAGTTTAGAAAGAGAAATGCAAAATACATCCTTGTGCTTTCAGGATTATTTAGGTTTTAAATGATTTAGAGTTCCCTTATATGGAAGGCTTTCTAGGAAAAGACTGGCTAAACCTGTTCCTCACTATAGCTGAGAATGCATGCTCAGAAATTTAATTCAGCAGTGGTTGCATTGTAGTGTAATAAATACAGGCTATGTGGGAGCTTCCTTGGGGCTTCCTTGGTTTGATATGACTGTCTGGGATGTGGTTGTTAAAGGGACGGTTGGGGGAATGGGAAACTGGGGAGTCTTGCTACTCTGGGGAGGGGCTAGGAAGGATTCTTCCAGTGGATGTCCAACACTGTAGACACTAGTCACATGTGTCTGTTCCCAACTGAGGCATACTGTGTGAGTAAAAGCTATACTGGGTTTCAATGACTTAGTATTAAAAAATGTAAGACATTTCATCAATAATTTTTACATTGATTGCATGTTGAAATTACCTGTGAAATAATCTGAGAGTGTATCGGGTTAAATAGTATTAAAATTGATTTCACCCACCTCTTTTTCTCTTTGAATGTGTCTACTAGAAAATTTAAAACTACATATATGGCTCACATTCTATATTTTCAGTGGACAGCACTGTGCTGTATCCATTTTACATGGTGGACTTGTGGTGTTTACTTTCTTGCTTGTGTTTCTGTATTTTTCAAGCTGAAAGTATGTATAGCAGACAATATTGTGTTTTGAGAAAAAATATATAGCATGGATTGTGGAGTCTGGCAACGATGCGTCCTAGCTATTGCACTTGGGCAACTAACTTTCTCTGAGCCTACACTCCGTCATTTGTTAAATTAAGAGAATAACTACTTTGGCCTCACCAGGTCAAAGCTCTCCAGGGTTGTTGTTAGGAGTGAGAAATGCATGGGAAATTAGCAGAGTGCTTAGCACAGAAACTGGCATAGGAAAAACTCAGTAATAAATATTCTGCATTTTTGTAGGTTATATCAAAACACCCATCTGGTGGACAATGTGAAAATCTGTCTCCATTTCTAACTCAGGTCTTTGTCTCTCCTGTTCTACAAGTTGGTCCTTGCTATTATATCTACCTACTTTTACACCCAGAAAACCGAACTTCCCCTTCTTTGCCTCATCATTGCGACTCTGAGTTGGTTTTCTGTTAGAGTTGTTCACACTGAGCTGCTTCCCACTTAGTTACTTTAGCTCATTTTTGACTTCAGAGCAGCAATTTTATCCTGGCTACAAACCGCGCCACAACTATCTACCCCTGCCCTTTGCCTTGTACCTGGAGGCTGGGTCTTGCTTTTTACTGAACTCTGCTGCTTTTGATGGGATGATCAGCAAAGGACAATTGACACCAGGCCAGTGCATGTGGGAAGCTGTCAGAAGAGTAAGGGTCACATAAACAAGAGATCAAGAGAACGAGGAGCAAAGACAGGACAGAAGAAAAGCAATGTTATCATTCTCTCCCCTTGTTTCACAAGCCTGCCTTCTCTTCTCACTGCCTTTGTCTGTTGGCTGTAAAAGCTGTGCTATGTTCAGCTCATGGTTAGTACAAGGTGTTTCTCATCGCCTTTCTAGATTCTCACCGCCTGAAGTACAACCTCCCACGGTATAGCACCGTTCACATCTAAAATGGCACTCAATTTCCATATTCTGGCCAATAACTCCTCAGATGAAGATGGTTGTAGATGTTCTCTGAAATGCAGTGACAGGGAAGAGGAAAAAAAATATGCAAACTTTGTCAAAATATGTGGCTTCCTCAGGTATGGTCTTTTTCCTAGTTCCTTCAGAATTAATGAGCCTCTCAGTCAGAGCTGAATGAGATGCAAACAAGGAGCAGGAACTTAAGATAAGTTTGGAATAGCACAGGTGGCTGGGGGCACCTGTACTCCTCAAAGAAGTGGGAAAAAAAGTCCCTGATTTCTTACCCGTTTTTTTAAAATCAGAAATACGTTTGTCGTTGTTGTTGTTGTTGTTGTTCCTATCCAGCACCTGTAACTAGGTGATTCAGAATAAACTCTTGAATTAAGGTGGTATTTTTTTCACCATTTTTTCATCAGATCAATATGTTACCTCACCTATTTTAGTTTTAGATTTACTGGATGTTCTCAGGATAGCAAACTCAAATAAACAAATTGGTTTATATTTCAAAGTTTAGACTGGGAGTTGACAGGAGAAACCTGTGGAAATTAACAAAGAAGAGTTTCCAAGGCTTGCCTTGCTCACATATAGATTTGTGGAGGATTTGAACACAGCTAGGGTCCCCTCCAACAGCAGGGAAGGAATACCCAGGCCAGTGCACACGAGAGGCTCACCTCTGGATGTGTGAATGTGGCTGTTTGTTCCTGGAGCATTTATTGGCTTATCGAGACAGAATTTTACTCTGTCAGCCAGGCTAGAGTGCAGTGGCACATTCATGTCTCACTGTAGCCTTGACCTCCCGGGCTCAAGTGATCCTCCCACCTCAGCCCCACAAGTATCTGAGACTAGAAGTGTGTATGTACCACCATGTCTGGCTAAGTTTTTCTTTTTTTTTTTTTTTGTAGAGATAGGGTCTTGCTATGTTGCCTAGGTGGGTCTCAAACTTCTAGGCTTAAGTGATTCTTCTGCCTTGGCCTCCCAAAGTGCTGAGATATCAGGCGTGTACCACCATGTCTGGCCCCCATTTATTAATAAAATATTTACCATGGGTCATGAAGCATTCATTGCCAACTATCACTTCCCTATGGTTTCCTAGAAAATCAGAGGATTGAAAATGTGAGTAAATGTTTCTTACTACAATTGAAATAGAGGAAGGAAGCATTTCTGAAAAGGCAAATCCTGCTTTAACATAGCAGTTCTCTACAGGGGAATTTATTCTGGGTGTCTTGGCTTCTTACAAGAAGAGAGCAAATGCTCTGCAGATACCCTGATCTTCCTTTTTTCTTTTTTCTTTTTTGTCACTGTAGCTAAACTCTCAAGAAACCTGTGATTTCAGTTGTTTGTGGTCTGTGTAGCATCTTTATCGCTGTCAGAATTGCAGAACTAGTGGTGGTTACATAAGTTGGAATACAAACGTGGACATGCAAACAAATGTCCATGCAGTAAACATTTGATCTACAGAAGGGGCCTTTGAGTGGTCTCTTCTCTAGGGCCTGATTTCTTCTGGGCTGCTGACAGCACAGCTCAGAGCTGGAAAGGAAGGGAACATGTTACTGGCTGAACTTGAAGGAAGTTTTACATTTGCCATCTCTGAATAATTCTTTTTCCCCACATGAGGGTGGAAGAGATGATGAATCTAAAAGTGTCTGAAAGAAACACATGTGCTGTTGCGGATATGAGCATCACGATTATAGGTGTGCATACCTAGCATGTATATGTCCAGCAAACATTCTTGGTGACAGGCTATTCCTGATTTTGCTTCCCCTGAAACCGAACGCAAAACCGGTGTTATTAAATATGCTGCTTTGTTGCCAAAGGGACACTACTTCCATTAGATTAAAAAATATCACTAGGTCGTCTTTGTGCGGACGTCCTTTAAAATACAAACACTGCTTTATCTAATGCAGCTATACTGCATGTATACATCTTTTTCTTTAAAACAAAAAGACAAAAGTAGATTTATGGGTAACATAAAATGCTTTCTGGATACACAAACACCAATGAAAACATTTTTAAAAAATTGACATCAACCGGTATAAATACACTGTCTAAAGCATTTAATGGTCTTTAACACAGTCAACTCCCCCGGGTTTGAAACAGTGTTAAATTCTCTCTTGCTTGTGGCAAAAGCTGTCAAGTCCAACACTGAAAAAATTGGTACCATTTCCTGGCCAGTAAGCACAGAACAGAGGGGCTAAATATTTTATGGTTTTATTTATGTATTTACTGTGTTCTCATGCTGTATTTTTCTCTTTTCTGTCTCTCCCTCCTGCTCGTGTCTGCCCAGGGCTGATTGTTGTGACATTGGCCGTATGCTGGATGCCCAACCAGATTCGGAGGATCATGGCTGCAGCCAAACCCAAGCACGACTGGACGAGGTCCTACTTCCGGGCGTACATGATCCTCCTCCCCTTCTCGGACACGTTCTTCTACCTCAGCTCGGTCATCAACCCGCTCCTGTACACGGTGTCCTCGCAGCAGTTTCGGCGGGTGTTCGTGCAGGTGCTGTGCTGCCGCCTGTCGCTGCGGCACGCCAACCACGAGAAGCGCCTGCGCGCCCACGCGCACTCCTCCACGGACGGCGCCCGCTTCATGCAGCGCCCGCTGCTCTTCGTCGCGTCCTGGCGCCAGTCCTCTGCAAGGAGAACTAAGAAGGTTTTCTTAAGCACTTTTCAGAGTGAGGCCGAACCCCAGTCTAAGTTCCAGCCATTGAATCTCGAGTCTCTAGAGCCCAACTCAGGCGCGAAACCAGCCGATTCTGCTGCAGAGAATGGTTTTCAGGAGCATGAAGTTTGAATGAATGTCAAGTGAGGGAGCCTTGAGTGGGAACTGGCCCTCCTCCCCCAAGAAAACGTCACCCTCCCTCTGCAGTCTCAAACTATGCCCCCATCAGGGATGGAATGGACACTGGAGGCTTTGCAAAAGGCAGATGCCCAGCTCAGTGACTTCTAAGGGCTGACTCTGCCAGCATGGCCTTGACCCTGGTTACACAGACATGGGGGTGAACGTTCACTCCACCTCCTTCCTTGAAGTGTACATACTGACGATTCAGCCAGACGGAATTTATTCAGAATGCTTTACACTGCCTCATTATTTGCACAGGAACAAAGAGAGAACATGGACTCCCGCTCCCTACCCAGAATAAAAGGACACCCAGAAGAAACTCAGGGAGGTGGGGGGTTGGGGGCGAGGGCTGGAAGAACAATGCAGGAGGGGGTGGCATCTCCTTCAGCTTCAGCAGTGTGCCGAGAAGAGGGCTAATTTGAGGAGCAGGATCGTGGTGGGGAGCCCTGGCCTGAGGGCCGAGGCAGAACTTCCCCTTTTCTTGGGCCTTGGCCCGTTGCACAGAGGGGTGTTGCAGCAGCTGATGCACACTGAGTTCAGTTTCCCTGGCGAGCAGAAGGACTGGTACCCGGCAGAGGCGATGAGACAAGCCGCTGATGACGCACAGGATTTGCGGTACATGATCCCTGCAACACAGACCCAAAGGAGCCGAGTTAATGTGCACTGGCAAAAAAGATACCTGTCCCTCTGTTCAAATCCAAATGGACGGCTCTTCCTTACTCCTCCCCCAGCCCAGAGACTTGGTGAGGCCAGGGAGGTGCCTCACTCACAATCTCACAATCAGTGAGATTGTCTCACTGATACTCAAAACACACAAGATAGACGGTGAAAGAGACAGGCACTATTTCATTAGTTTTAACCAAACTGTTCCAAAAGCTATTTGAGATGCCAATACCAGTGAATAAAGAGCTGTTAAAATGTAGGTCTGTATAAGTCAGAGTTCACATTGTGTACAAGGCAGTTTTTTTTTTGGTTCAAACTGTCTCATGCCAGTGAGGACCACAAGCAGTGCTTCTCGATCTTATCTCTGTTATTGCTTTATAAACGGCCACAGAGGGATGGCTCTCAACTATGTGTTGATGAAATCCTGAGGTTCTATGAAGACAGACCAAATCCCCAAGGGGAATAAATATATTCCTACTGAAGGGGCACCTGGCTGTGTGTCCCTCACAGTCTTAATTCTCAGACGCTCTGCCCTCAGGACACATGGCCATCTGCCAAGCCAGCACCACGCAGCTAGCACTCAGTGACACACACTGGGTGCAAAAAGGAGTGTCCCAAGACGAACTGGGGGGGCCTGTCTCAAAGAGCATGTGTGGCCTGTCAAGCTGCAGTATAGTCATCAAATTAGGGTGTCTTAATCATTTGATTTCTTAAAGGTGGAAGTTTACTCAATTCAAATAATACTAGCTGAACTTATTTTAGTCTCTCAGGCACTATTCAGAGAGCTGTAGTGTGTCAGCTTCTTCACTACCCCAAGCAACCCTACGAGGGAGGCCCTCGTGATCACTACCATTTTACAGATGCGAAGCCTCTGGGCCAGAGAGATTCAGTAACTTGCCCAAGGTCACAGGAAGTGGAGCAGCTGGGATTTGAAGCCAGCATTCTGGCTCCATGCTGTCAAGACTGTCTTATTGTATAGCAGCAAATTGGATTACCAATTAACCACAAAAATGGTGGGGATATTTTAGGGGGAGGGGGCTTTACTCTGAAGATAGCTTTTGTTGTGTGGATATGTATGTGGTTTGCTTTTTTTTTTTTTTAAATAAGACAGCGTCTTGCTCTGTTGCCCAGGCTGTAGTGCAGCCATCCTGGCTCACTGCAAGCTCTGCCTCCCAGGTTCACACCATTCTCCTGCCTCAGCCTCCCTGGTAGCTGGGACTACAGGCACCCACCACCACACTGGCTAAGTTTTTGTATTTTTGAGTAGAGATGGGGTTTTACCGTGTTAGCCAGGATGGCCTCAATCTCCTGACCTTGTGATCTGCCCGCCTCGGCCTCCCAAAGTGCTGGATTACAGGCGTGAGCCACCACACCCGGCCATATATGTGGCTATTTTATATTAATGATTTTTTTTTGGACAGATAATATTTAATACTAAAGCTAGACTTAGAATTCAGGTCTTAATCCTGTTTGCTGCCTTGCACAGCTGAGGGATATAGCATCCTACTAGTAACCGGGTCTCCTTACCCACTCATTTCCTACAAGTGTATGGGCAGGTGTGGTTTTGGTTTTGGCTCCCTCCTCCTCGAGAATTGCCACTTTGGGTGCTGTAGAAACAGTAAGGAATGAAACTGCCTAGAACTTCCAAGCGGGAGGTAAAGAAGTACTTTAGATTTACCTTAAAACATGCAATTTTATGTCATTTTCCCCCCTCTAACTGCATGTTTGTAGGGACTGATTTTCTAAGACCATTACAAAATCCTGGAAGGTGGCTGCTCTGGTAAGCTAAAGCCAAGGTACAGAGGATGCCTGTATCTACGTGTGGGAGGCACTGTTTGATTTCTAAGCAATACAATTCAGGGCATTGCCCATTTATAGCTTTCCCATAGTCTCTACATTTGCCATCCATGGCCCTTTTTAGGAAATCATTCTACTCTTTTTATTCCTAAGTATGAAAAACACTAACTGGCATTTATTTGCCACTTCCTCTACAATGAAGTTTTTTTTCTTTAAGTCAATTTTTAAACGAAAAAATTTACTGAATATATTTTTCTCTTTAAAAAAAAGTTAGTAGTGTGAAAATGGCCGTTGAGTACCCCTGCCAGTTCCAGGCCCTCCACCGTGCTCCCCTGGAGGCAGTTGCGGTCATCAGTGTGGCGTGCCGCCTTCCAGGCCGGTTTCTCTACATTTACATTATATGCCCACGGAGAAATAAAGCCCGTGTGTTCGCACACATTTGTTAACAGTATCACATCCTATATGCTACTCTGCGATTTGCATTTTTATTCAGTGACATGGCTGGGAGCTTATTTTTAAGGCGAACTTTGCAAGGTTAAGGATCAGTGATGAGGTAGGTTAGTTGGATACATAGTGTATGTCATTATGAAGAGATGGACTAACAGAGCCATAATCTTTACAGCTGCTGAGACCCTCATATGTCATTAGTCAGAAACAATTTATCTTCATAAGTGGCACCATCTCTGCTCACTGAAAGTTCAGCCTCCTGGGTTCACGCCCGGGAGAGGTACAAGCTCTCAAGTTGGTGGTTCATGAACTGAGGGCACCACAATGAGGTTTTCTGAAGGGGAAGGTTGACAGCTCCATAAGAAAAGGGGCATTTACCAGATGCTCCAAGAGGGAAGAAAGAGAAAGGTATCTGAGGTCAGATAGGTGTGTCCATTGCCAGGATGGCTGCTCCAGGCCAGGCATCCTGAGGAGGCCCAAGGGCCAGCAGGCTTCTAGGCATGAGGGCCATGAGGCTCAGGGTAGCTGTGGGCTCCTATGAGCCTCCCTTGCTTAAGGTCTAAGTCTGGAAACTGGCACGAGAGATGCTTTGGGTGAGACTGGATGTGATTTCGAAGAGGTTTCTAACCAGATGAAAGGAAATGCGGACCTAGGCATCAAGGTAAGTGACAGGCAACTGGCTGGTGTCGGGCTATGGAGGAGCTGACTTTGGAGACATTCAAGAAGAAAAAGTACGCTAGTTCTAAACTGGACAGTGGCAGAGGAAGCAGGTAGGAGTTGTTGCGCTAACAGAAATTGGGAAATTTGAGATTAAAGAGGGGCTTTCAGAAAACAAAGGCATGTTACTTATCCTTTTGATGAAAATTCCTGTGGTGGAAATAACACGGTGCCTCCTTTGAGAGAGGTGGGATGGGGCTGAGTGGTGAGGCTGGGGCAGAGGGACTGATATTTGGAAAGGCTGATGTTTCAGTCTGCAAAGAAGTGGAAATAAGCCACCTCTCCCACGGCTTCAGATAAACTGTCCAGGTTCATTGTAGGCACTCCAGCGGGCAGGCTGGCATGGGAACGGAGGTCCAAGGACAAACGGGGATGGTTTTGGGGAATGCTGAGAGCTGCCCTGTGAGGAACATGTGATTGAAGACCACACAGGTTGCTAGGTAGCTTTCAGAAAAAGCCCCTGGGGTTTAGACACGAATGGCTGCCTGCACTGATGCAACTGGTGAAGAAAGCCACAGGAGAGATTCGGAGGCACCAAGGAAGAGAGGGGTGTAGAATAAAGACTCACACTGGAAGGAAATAAGGAATGCTGCCAGGCGGGGAGGGCCCAATGAGGACTTAGAACTCCTGAACAGTTCCATCATTCACATGCTTAGGATAAATTTCAGGTAGATCTAAGATTTAAATGTTGGGGGGAAAGAAACCCATAAAAGTACTAAATGACACTTTGGAACCTTGGGAGTTTTATGTAAGAGTTGTAAAAGCTATTCTATGACACAACACCCAGAAGCCATTACAGAAAATACTGAAAAATTACACTATACATATATACACACACTCTGCCTATTGAAATCCCTATACGTAGGATGAAAAAAACAAGTGGAATATTTGAAAAAATAATTGTAATTCCAATCACAAAGCAGATTTCCTTAATATGTAAAAAGGTCCTAGAAATCTGTAAGGAATAAATAATAAATCAGTAAGGAATAAATAACTCATTAGAAAAATAGAAAGCAAATGAACAGACAGTTCACAGAAAAAGAAACAGAGCCTTGAAACACATGAAAAGATACCCTCTCGTATCATAAGAATGCAAATTAAAACTACACTGAGATGTCACTATCACTTGGGCAGAGATTTAAAAGTTTATTATGAACACTGTGTTAAAAGTTTATTATAAACACTGCGTGAGTCTTAGAAAAAGGCCCTTTCCTACATTGTTGCTTAGGAGAGTAAATAGGTATAATTTCCATGAAGGCAATGTGGCAATAGCTATCAGCATTGCAAATGCATGTACTCTGTGACCTGGCAATTCCACTTTTATGTATGTATCCTACAGACATATTCACATACATACACAATGACTGTACACAAGGTTATTCATGGTAGAGTACAGTGTCATGGCAAAAGAAAAGACCATCACTCTATCCATCACCAGGGCACGGGCAAACTTCCAGTGTCTTATCTGATAATGCAATTCCACAAAGCCACAGAAGATACTGAGTTTAAAACAAAGCAAAGTATGTCTGGACAGTTCCTTCCTACCTTTTCTCTCCTTCCCTTTTTTTTTTTTTTTTTTTTAAACGAGTTTGTTTCTTACTATGCTTCAGATGCAGTTTTAAGAGCTTTATGAATATTAACTCATTTAATCTTTGTAGTAACTCTAGCAGTAATCCTCATTTTGCAAGTGGGGAAACTGAGGCAAAAATAGGGTATGTAATTTGCTTAGGGGCCATTCAGGTCATATGTAGTGGAGCTGGGATTTAAGCCCAGGAGATCTGGATTTATAATCTATACTGTTAACCATTATACTACTCTGCCTACCATGCTATAACATGCATCCATTGGGGAAAATAAAAATTAAACACACATTTTGCATGCATATGCATAAAAATTTATGGAAGAATACACAAAAAAGATAACATTGGTTGTCTCTGGTGTGAGATTCTACGTGGCCACAGGAGAGGAGTGGGAAAAAACTTTTGACCCTTTCTTACCATTTAAAATCAGAACCATGAGAGTAAAGTATCATTTTTAAAATGACGTAAATAAACACCCCCAATGAACCATCCTCAAATGGCTTCTTTCTCAGTGTAGTACAAGTTCCTTCCTAGCTGTGTCCACCAGAGGGCTCTAGGGAATGACACTCTGAAGAAAAGAGCCACCAGGAGCTGCCCCAAAGTCCAAGCCTCAGGGCCACAGGGCAGGGGTACTTGTGTCTGTGGTTCTCTCTGCTTTTCCTTTAACCCAGACGCCATGAGATCAGGTCTGAGCCTGAGGGAAGAGGAGCTGTGAGTAAAACAAGGGCCTTGTCA